ATGTGCATGCGGCTTGTGTAGACATCCTTCTCACAGAATCTAACAATTCCAAAAATCATCTTCTGATTCGACACACTGGATCCTTTAAAATTACCATCAGCATATTCCTCATCAGCAAACAAAGATGCTGACCACAGGCTGTGCCAAGTGTTTGTCAGATGTCTTGTCCCTTACATGTTCTGCTGTCCAGATGGCACTTTTCATTGTAAATGCTTTCTGGAACCATGCTATCTCAGATCACAGCACAATGTGCATGCCTTATAAACTTGCCCTTATGCTCAGACTTTATGGACGATAAAATTCTTTGGTTCCTTGGCTAAATTAATGATGTTACATTCTGGGATAAGTATATGCTAAACATACGAAAAAGAAGTCCAGCATGCGCACATGCTGAGCAAATGTAAAGCAAGAACAGCATCTTGCAGTTTTCATCAAGCCCAACGAACCTGCAATGAGTGCACCATGTGGAACAAAGTACTTCTGAAACCAGTCCAGACAAACTTGCCTGATTATTCATGCTCTAGTTACCATAATAATGCAGTGGAAATATTCTTATCTCCTGGAAACATCATGGGCACTGGCTTTTTTCAATGTACAACAATTTACATTTTTCTGTTCCAGCTGTACTAGCACAACTACGCACATTAAATCTATCTTTTGTGTCTTTTCCATCTGTTGGTGCCCTTTCACGAACCGTTACTAAGGTTTTTCCTGGTGCATTATGCCAAAATAGGGATATTGCATCAGTATTTTAGATTTCTCCAAAAGAAAGGCTTTCGTTAGCAACTGGAGTGTTTTCCCCATGGTAGGGGAGTCCAAAACTACACAGCATAGGTTTAAGGGGAAAGATTTAAAAGAGACCTAGGGGGTAACTTTTTCCAACTAAAGGTGGTGTGTGTATGGAATGAGCTGCCAGATGAAGTGGGAGGCTGGTACAATTACAACATTTAAAAGGCATCTGGATGGGTAGAGGAAGGGTTAAGAGGGATATGGGCCAAACGCTGGCAAATGGGACTAGATCCTTGTCCTAGGTCCTTAATTTAGGATATCTGGTCCGCATGGAAGAGTTGGACTGAAGGGTCCGTTTCCACTCTGTACAATCCTACGACTCTATGACTTGGCAACTTGTCTATGAAACTTTCAGCTGCCTCAATGTGCCGAGGATTTATCTCCAGACACTTTTAAGTTACTTTACTTGACAGCACCTTTTAGATTTGAGAACCAACCAGAACACTATTTGCATTAAGTTTAAATATTCAGTTCATAGAATTTGGGGCTTGCTTAATCAACAATGGTTTAGTCAATGGCACCCTCTTATTCCATCATCATTCAGTCTAACTCATCACTTTTCGGTTTACGCTTCGCTTTTTTTATTTCTTTCTTTCTGAATGTGATACCCAGCATGAAAACTGGATTCTCTGCTTCTTAAGATCAAATCGCGGAGGTACCCACCCCATACTCCTCATTCAGCTTTTGCAGAGTCTGGTGGAGATGGATTCAATGGAGGCTTTCAACAGGGAATCAGATCATTATCTGAAAAGGAAGAATGTGTAGGGTTATATGTAGAAGGTGGGGGAATGGTACCACAAGTACAGTACCTTAAACCCAGCTACCTGAGAACTGTCAGTATCCAACTGAACATGCCTTTAAGCAGGCCAAGCAAGAATTTTAAATTTGAATGAAAAAGCTTACCAGCTTATGGGAGTTGCTGCATTGGTGTGATGGCAAGATCCAAGTGGCATAACAACCTTTGAGAGTCTACCCAAAGCATGCTTTGAAAACTCAGGTAGTTGCTACATTGTCACTATGATTCACCCACAAAGACACCTAGGTCCATCTACTCGTGCATCCCCTTTAGTGTTATATCATTTATTTATGTTGTCTCTCCATGCTTTTCCTACCAAGATGAATCACCTCACACTTCTCAGCAGTGAACTTAATCTGTCACTTAAACCAGCTTGTCAGAGTCCTTTTGAAGTTCTCCATTATCCTCCCTACAGTTCTCAATGCCTCCATGTGTCTTATCATCTGCAATTTTTAAATTAAATATAAATTCCACAAATAACCATGGTATGATTTGAACTCAGACACCAGACTCAAAGCCTCAGGATTACAATTCCGACAACATTACCACAATGCCAGCACCTTCTCAGTTCAGCAAGTCAAGGAACCACATCATGAGTGAAGGGAGGAAGCTCAAATGAAGCATAAACCACATGGATCAGTCCGGCTGAATAGCCTGTTGCAACTTTATACATACAGACATAGGAATTATGAGGGGTGGCACGGTGGCTCGGTGATTAGCACTGCTCCCTCACAGCACCAGAGACCCGGGTTCGATTCCACCCTTGGGTGACTGTCTGTGTGATGGCACCATTCTCCCCATGTCTGCCTGGGTTTCCTCTGGGTGCTCCGGTTTCCTCCTGCAGTCCAAAGATGTGCAGGGTAGGTGGATTGGCCATACTAAATTGCCCGCAGTGTCCAGGGATGTTGAGGTTAGGTGGGTTAGACATGGGGAAATGCAGGGGTAAGGGGAATGAGTTGTGGTGGGATGCTCTTCGGAGGGGCAGTGTGGATTTGTTGGACCGATTGGCCTGTTTCCACACTGTAGGGATTCTATGAGTACAACCTTACATTTTGGCCCCTTAAGCCTGCTCTGCCATTCAATAAGACCATGGCTGATTTGATTACTCCACATTTCTGCCTATTCTGATAAGCAGGGAGTGAAAAGTTATCAAGAATATACTAACTACTACCTTAAGTTCAAGGACTCTGTTGCTAATACCTTTTGAGGATACACCACTTTTACAAGGGTAACACCACCAGGAATGGTCAAAACAAACCTATGATGTGGAGGTGCCAGTGTTGGACTGGGGTGGACAAGGTCAGAAATCACATGGAGGAAGGGACCCGAAATGTTAACTGACTTTTTCTTCATCGATGCTGCCAGACCTCCTGAGCTTTCCCAGCAACTTCTGTTTTTGTTCCGAAATCACACGACAGCAGGTTATACTCCAAACTGTTTATTTGTAAACACAAGCTTTCGGAGCTTTAGTAAAACCTATAAACCTGAAAACAGGATTAAATCTTTCCTCAGCTGCATATGAAACAGTTGAATTGCCAAGTTCTCCAGATGTGACTCTTACAAGGAGGAATGCTTTTGCTTGAATCTGACAAATGTGAATAATCACCAGCTTTCACAGTCAACAAACATCATCAAAACCATCTGCCGAGAGGCACACTTCTTTCTGCCAACATATTCCAAGAGCTCAAGATACTAAACTATCATTATTATGAGCAGTGGGAAAAGCACAACTTTTTCGACCCGTCAATCACACAATACATTGTGTTTCTGACTGAATGGCACACATTAGAGATGCAGTTAGTTTACCCACGATTGTTTTATTTATTCAGCTTCCCCTCCTTTAGCCCCTAGTCTACTTTGAAAACTTTCATTAAATCACCCCTGAACTTTCTAAATTCCAAGAAATATAAGGATACCTTGTGTAATTTCTCCTCCGAGGTTACTTCTCAAACTCCAGATTATCACTCAAAACACCTATGCTGCACTCTCTCCAAAAATAATTTAGCCTTCTTACAGGGTGGTGCCCAGAACTGTTCACAGTAACCAAAGCTTAAGATAGCTGTAGCTTTACTTGTCATCACTTAATTTCCAATCATTACAATAATTACCAGTAAGTATTTCAAAGGGTTTCAACCTTCAGTGGATGGCCTCATGGTTATCTACATTGAAGCAGATTTGGCACAATTTTACCTACTGTCCAAATTTTAGTCCCTTAGACTGCCCTCATTTTAGTCCCCATTACAAAGTGCAAAACCAGCATTCCAATGGTTTCGTGAGGTTAAGTCAATTGAAGCAGATGCTAATTACTAAAATACATAGCTCAGTACTTTATGCAAATTCTTGCAAATGTGAAATTTGCAAAGCTTATGGACATTTTGAATCTGTGATCACAAACACCTTTGCACTCGCAATACTGAAATATATACGCAAGTTTAAAAGAATATAGTTGCATCACACCATCAGCATAAAAAGGAAAAAGTGAAGTCAAACTTAACCCCAAGCCTTGTCATCACATGGGCTGCTTTCAGCACAGGCAACCCATTTTCACCTACTTCTGGTCTCTTCTTTCACCCTGGCATACCATTATTCATCCCTTTGTCTGCCCTACCGTCTTGCTCTCCCTCCGGGCTCTGTCTCCACCTAACTTCTCATTCATTTTACCCCATCTTCAGCACGAATACCACACTGTTCCTAGCTCCTACTAGTTCTGATGAAGGGTCACTGGTCCTGAAAATGTTGACCCTGCTTTCTCTCCACAGATGCTACCAGACCTGCAGAGTTCCTCCAGTAATTTCTTTTTTGTTTCAAGCTTAACCGTTTGCTCATTCTAGTATATACATAAATAACATAGTCCTCTATTAAACTTCACTGTAGAACTGTTACCACAGAGCAAGTGGATAACCCCACCTTGAACAAACTAGATTCTCCTGTACAACACATCAGCCCAATACATACTGCAGAGTAATATCACAGAATTAATCAGTCACTCATTACAGATAATACAAGCAATTACTTGGAACATAAGATCTTTCAATCTTCCTTGGTCATTCTCCTCCTTGGGACGCTTCACAATCCCATTTCTCCCTGGAGCTCTACTAACCTTCACTCACTCACCATGTCAGATGTGAGAAATCACAAATACAAGAAGAAAATCTACAAGCTGCCTTATCATTCACCACTCTTCTCATTCCCTGAAGATCCTGTCATAGGAGGACTATCCTCCCTCATCCGGGATCACTTCCAGTCCCTCTTCAGGGGAATTGTTCATCGCTTCCCTGGGTGGCTGTTGAGCTTGGGTGGGCGTTACACTCCCAAGGGCTGCTCAGACCTGGGGACATCACACCCCTGCGGTTGTTCGACTCTGGTGGGCATCACACCCCTAATGAGCTGTTTGACCCCAGTAGACATCACTCACCCTCCTTGAAGATGAGTTTACGAAAGTAAGACTCTCTGACCAGCCTCCCGTCCGGGTCGAACAGTAGTGGGAAGGTGCCGGCGCTGAGCTGGGGCCCTCCGCCTCTCAACACAACCGGTACCGGGGCCTCCCGACAGCCAAAGAACCTACGTCCCTCACCAGCGGCGGCCGCCTGCTCTTTCTCCCGAGGGTCCGACCCCTCATGCTCCTCAGATCTAAGGCCACGGCGCGAAGTCCCGGGGCTTGGGTCTCCGCTCGCCTCCATGAACCACACCAGGGGGCAATGAGGAAGGGGCAGAGCCCTGAGGTGGGGCGGATCAAATGGTGTGGAGGGGCCGGTGGATAAGGTCAGAGGTCAGGATGGAGAGGCGGGGCCACGTGGAGGGGCGGAACAGAAGGGCAGGGCAATGGGTTGGGGTGGTAAGGAGCGGGGCAGAAGGGCGGGGCTGTGGGTTGGGGTGGTAAGGGGCGGGGCGGAAGGGCGGGGCTCCGTGTTGGTGTGGTAAGGGGCGGGGCAGAAGGGCGGGGCTGTGGGTTGGGGGGGTAGGGGGCGGGGCAGAAGGGCGGGGCGGAAGGGCGGTGCTCCATGTTGTTGTGGATCACATGGTGAGGGCGCGGCCAGTGGGCGGCTGCAGTCGGCGGGGCCTGATTGTTGTGCACTGCATGGAGGGGGCGGGGATTAGTCGAAGGAGGAGGAGGTGTCATGAAGGGGCGGGGTGATTGCCGACGGGGCCTGATTGTGGGACACGGCCAGGTCGCTGTGAGAGGCGGGGCTATCCAGGGGCGGGGTTATTGTGGGCGGGGCCTGATGAAGGGCCCGTGCTGCCTTCATCCACATCAGCTCATTCATTCCAGCTGATTACTTTTTTTATTTTCATCACTCCTTGCAAATTCTTTCTTCTTTTTTCTTTCAGTTTATATTTCTAATAAATCAAAACAGTTATTCATATTTGGTACGTTATGGCAGTATTTGTGGAGTGAGGAATGGAATGCACGTTTTAGTTCTGATCTTTCACCGTCCTCTTTATAACCTAATTCGTCCATTTTCTTTATTCGAATAATCCATCCGACTTCGTCATTTTCTGATCACTTCTTCAAAATATTTTTTCTTCAGATTTTTTGATCCATCTGTCTGCCTACTTTCCACTTTCTCACTCACAGCATTCCTTACAAAACCTTTGCTCACTTTCTTAGCAATACATCCACCTACTGCTAGTGAACATGTATATGATTGTCCTACTTCCAGACAAGTCTATCATCTTAAAGTTATCATATTACAAGGGGAGATTTGCAGGACAGATCCAACGCATCATCCTCCGACACTTCCGCCATCTGCAATCCGACCCCACCACCAAAGACATTTTTCCCTCCGCACCCTTATCTGCTTTCCAGAGGGACCACTCTCTCCGGGACTCCCTTGTCCGCTCCACACTCCCCTCCAGCCCCACCGCACCCGGCACTTTTACCTGCAACCGCAGGAAGTGCTACACCTGCCCCCACACCTCCTCCCTCACCCCCATCCCAGGCCCCAAGAAGACTTTCCACATCAAGCAGATGTTCACCTGCACATCTGCTAATGTGGTATACTGCATCCGCTGCACCCGTTGTGGCTTCCTCTACATCGGGGAAACCAAGCGGAGGCTTGGGGACCGCTTTGCAGAACACCTACGCTCGGTTCCCAATAAACAACTGCACCTCCCAGTCATGAACCATTTCAACTCCGCCTCCCATTCCTCAGACAACATGTCCATCCTGGGCCTCCTGCAGTGCCACAACGATGCCACCTGAAGGTTGCAGGAACAGCAACTCATATTCCGCTTGGGAACCCTGCAGCCCAATGGTATCAATGTGGATTTCACAAGCTTCAAAATCTCCCCTCCCCCTACCCGCATCCCAAAACCAGCCCAGCTCGTCCCCGCCTCCCTAACCTGTTCTTCCTCCCACCTATCCCCTCTCACCTCAAGCCGCACCCCCATTTCCTATGTACTAACCTCATCCTGCCCCCTTGACCTGTCCATCCTCCCTGGACTGACCTATCTCCTCCCTACCTCCCCACTTGCACTCACCTTTACTGGCTCCATCCCCGCCTCTTTGACCTGTCTGTTTCCTCTCCACCTATCCTCTCCTCTATCCATCTTCTATCCGTCTCCCCCTCTCTCCCTATTTATTTCAGAACCCCTTTCCCTCCCCCATTTCTGATGAAGGGTCTAGGCCTGAAACGTCGGCCTTCCTGCTCCTGTGATGCTGCTTGGCCTGCTGTGTTCATCCAGCTCTACACCTTGTTATCTGAGGTTCTACTGTTTGCTTTGTGTCATCTTAAGCTTTTATTTAGTGCTGCTACATCAAGTTGATGCAACCAAAACAGAATGTTGCTGTGTTTAAACCCATTAAGCTTTTGAGAAGTCCCTGTCATATAATGACCATCTAAAAGACAATACACTTGTCATCAGAATTACATAGAATGTACAGCAGAGAACAGGCCACTTAGCCCAACTACCTAATTAGGGCGGCACGGTGGCTCAGTGGTTAGCACTGCTGCCTCACAGCACCAGGGACCCAGGTTTAATCCCAGCCTCAGGTGACTGTCTGTGTGGAGTTTGCACATTCTCCCCGTGTCTGCATGGGTTTCCTCCCACAGTCCAAAGATGTGCAGGCTAGTTGGATTGGCTATGCTAAATTGTTCGTAGTGTTCAGGGATGTAAGTGTGTTATAGGGGGATGGGTCTGGGTGGGATGCACTCAGGGTTGTTGTGGGCTTGTTGGGCTGAAGGGCCTGTTTCCACACTGTAGGGATTCTAACCCAAGCTAGTGATTATACTGTACACATCCCCCTTCCTCTCACTCCACCAGCAATTCTCTCTATTCCTCTCCCACTCCTATGTTTATTTAGCTCTAACCTAAATATATCTATGCTAGTCACCTCAACCACTCCCTATGATCTATATTCCCATTTCCTGCTGAGGTCCATGCACAGCAGAGGCTTGAGAACCAGACGTGTTCACTGTGTTCACACGCCAACGGGTGTGCATGGATCCTGTGCAACTTAAAGAGAACATTACCGTGTCTGGGTGCTCCAGTTTCCTCCCACAGTCCAAAGATGTGCAGGCTAGATGGATTGGCCATGCTAAATTGCCCATAGTGTTCAGGGAAGTGTAGATGAGGGAGATGGTTCTGGGTGGGATGTCCTGAGGGTTGGTGTGGACTTGCTGGGCCGAAGGGCAAATTTCCACACTGTAGTGATTCTATGATCTATAATGATCTATTTACCAGTACCTAAGTAAATCATTTTGTGTCATCTAAGTCTTAAAGGGCATTCCCTACTTTTAAATTGTGCCTCCTAGATCTGGACTCTCCAACCAGGTGAAACATCTTATGTTCATTGACTTTGTCAATCCACTTAAGTATTTTTTAAAATGAGATCACCTCTCATTCTTCAAAACTCCAGAAAATACAGATCCAGTTTCCTCAATTTCTCTTCATAGGGCAGTTCCTTCATGCTGCAAAAAAGTCTGATGAACATTCATTGGACTCCAAGTATTGCAATAATATCTTTCCCGAGAAAAGGAGACCAAAACTGCATTCGGTACTTCAGGTGTGGTCGAAACAAGCTCCTATACAATTGAAGCAAAACTTCACTACTCCCGTGCTCAAATCATCTTGCAATAAGCATTACTAAAACTCTATTTAATATCTCACATAATTACAAAATAATGCTGTCCTGATCTATGAGCAGAGTAAAACTGGTTGAAACATTTTTCTTCATAAATGAGCAACTCAGAAATAATTTTATTTCCCCATGCATTAGATCTCTCATACAGTGTATGTGTTAGCTGTGGCTCCATGGATAGTTCCAATGTTCTGGGAACATTTGTTCAAATCCCTGCTTGACAGATGGAGAAATTTGAATTCAATAAAGAAATCGGAATTTAAAAAAGGAGCTACTCTAATGATGACCGTGAAACCATTATCGATTGTGGTAAAAACCCATTTGGTTCAAGAATGTCCTTTAGGAGATGAAATCTGTCATCGTTACATGGTCTAGTCTACATGCGACTCCAGATCCACAGCAATGTGGTTGATTTTCAACTGCCCCCCTGGGCAATTAGGATGGGCAATACATACTGACCGAGACAACGATGCACACATTCCATGAATGAGCAAAAAATACCCTCTAATCACTGAGTCATCAGGCTTTGGGTTCAAGTTCTATCCTAGGTTGACTTAGTGCACTATTGAGGGAATGCTGCCCTGTCAAACGGATTTAAAAGATTCAATAGCATTATTTAGAAGAAGTGTAGGGCAGTTGTCCCTGGTGACCAATATTGATCTCTCATCCAACAACAAAATTGGATGCCGATGGTGGACACTAATTTGGGACTTTCTTAGGCTCCAATAAGTGGGAACAGGCTGGAAAGGTTATTTCTGTTTAGAACATGTTATATCTATGCATTAATACGTCTAACAATGTGCAGAAATTGACTCCTGTTTTATCCTTGGCCACCAGGTTTTCTGAAAAGTTGTTTGTGGGCATTTACAGTGTACAAATTGGCTGCTCTACTTCCTATATTACAACAATGACTACACTTCTGAAGCACTTCATTGATTGTAAAGTGCTTTGGGATGTCCTAAACATATGAAAGCTGCCATGTAAATGAAAGACACTTCTGACTAAGAAAATGCAACAGAAATTTGCTAGTCTGAGTACCAGGTTGACTAAGATAATTAAGATCAACATTGCTGTTGCCAGAAATCAGTTTAGAAGAAAATAATTTGATTGGCTCAATCAAATTCCAAACTTGAATCATCGAATGAAAAGCTTTGTTAAGTAGAATCACAGTGAATATGGAAACAACTCAAAGACTCTCTGTATGGTGAACAGGCTAATGGGTTATCTCTGGTGTCCATACCTCCAACATAAGTGCATCATCAAGAAAGATATAAAGAGTGCGGATGAACTAAGAGGCAGTCACTGACATTTGTGAACTCTAGAAGGTGACTGTTTGAAAGGGCATTGGAAGAGGTGGACAGAAACAGAAAGTTAGGCCGAGAAGAAGGCCTAGAGAAAGCAGAGGCCAGTGAGTCATACACTTTCTCAGCCCATTGTCGTCCACTGTAGAGGATGCAGAAGAGACTGTGATGCCAGAGTGGGAATCCTGAGCCACAGGATTAGTGATACCTAACACACAGTTGTCCACCATGGTGTCAACAATCAACATAGGAGATGGAAGCTGCTGCAACAGTTGTCGGGTTGCTGGAGAAAAAAAATTAAAGCAGATATCATCCTCAATAAGGAAGATGCTAAGAATGCTCATGTGTACACTAAACATGACTGATATAGCTTTCTATTTTAGCCTTTAGCTGTACACTGTCCTTTGGATGAAACATTAAATTGAAGCCCTGACTGCTGTCTCAGATGATTGCAAAAAGATGCCATGGCATTTCTTTGAAGAACAGCAAGG